TTTATTGTATTCTTTCCCTACTCACTTAAAAAGACACTTTTATCATCTACTAAATTTTAGCATATAATTTGGTCTGTTTCTCAATGCTGCTTTGTGTTTCACTGATATATCTGTCTGGTGATGGCTGGCTGTATATTTTTAAATGGCTATTACTTGCTAAAACAGGAGTCTTGGTGACCATATGGTTGACCGTTAAAACCCATATTGCTCATTGGGAGAAAGATGAGGTTTTCTACTGTGGTATAGATTTACAGTTTTGGAAACCCACTGGGGAAGTTTCACTACTCTTTTTCTTCTTTTTTTTTATGAACTTGGTTATCACTAACAATTCCAAGTCCATTTCAATTTTCCTTTTTTTTTAAAAGCCACTCAAACCACTATTTAGGTATGAGAAATATAGGATCTGGAGGAATTTTTCTTGCCTTATTTTTTTAAAGAAACATATTATATATATTTATACAGCCCATCTCAAGAAATGAAATAGCATCCAATTTAAGAAGTTAGGTCTTACATCATGACCCTGCTTGATACTCGCCCTCAGAAAGGGAACACAGAAGATATGGGTGCTATAGCAAAGTGTGGTGAAGAAATTAGAGGGTGCCTGGCTATCAGATAAAATAGCACTTGGGATCTTAAAGGTTTGTTTCCAACCCAGCAGCCATCTAAGTGAGATGTCACCAAATCCACATGGAAGAAGCACACCAACATCAGTGACCAAAGGATTATAAATCATATAATCCAAAGTTGAAGAAGGGAATAGTATCAGACCCTAAATTGTGAGAATCTGGTTTGCGGGAGGCTCTGGATAAGAGTGGGAGCCCAGGATACACTTGTGAGAACTACATAGGAAATAAGCCTCCAGTGACATCTATCTACAATCGAGCTTTGAGAGGAAAGTGGTTACCAATTAGAGGGCATTGGGGAGCAGACTAGAGAAGATCAAAAGGATAAACCTGAACTTGAACAGTTAAATCCTTGTCAGTTGGCCCCTCCTCTGATGCACATCAGGGCTGATCTAGTTTCCAATATATTCTGTATTTTTTTGTTTGTTCATATTGGGGTTTATCTCAGATGAGTTATGTAATTGGGGGGTCACCCTCATGAAGTTTTATGATGTTTTTGTGTTTTTCAGTGTATGAAACCCAGGATTGATGAACCTCTAGGGACAGCAAATAGAGTAAAGGTTTCTGGGCTTATAGTGGTGGTGGGGGTGGTAAAAGGGAGCTGATGTCAAGGAATTCAAGAAGGAAAAGGATGTTTGTAAATGGATCGTGGTTACAATTGTACAATACTGCTTGATGTGACTGAACTATGGAATGACATGATGTCTGTGTTAACTCCCAATAAACTGGTTTTGGGGGAAAAAAGAAATTAAATAATATCTTACTAAATCGTCCATATATGGGATTTTTCTCTTCCTCAGAGTTCTACTCTATCTTAAAGGGTCTCAATGGGTATGAATTACAGGTACTCAGTGGCAGTGAGTGGGTGAATGAGCGCACGGTGATCTAGTGGACTGTACATTGGGCTGCTAACCCCAAGGTAGCATGTCAAACACATCAGTTGCTCAGTGGGAGAAAAGGGGAAGCTTTCTGCTTCCATAAAGATTTATAGCACAAATTCAATGGCATTGTTTGTTTGTTTTTCTCCCCCTAACAGAGGAATTTCAAGGAAAAAACTCAAAAGATCTGATGATCACACTATCAAAAACCTCCCAAAATTGACTGCTAAGGAATTGTTTCCAACTTACAATGATCCTGTAGGACAGAGTAAAATTGTGCTTTAGGATTTCCAAGACTGTACATCTTTAGGGAAGCAGACATCCTCATCACAGCCCAGCGCAATGCTCATTATAATTCTAGGTTTCCTTAAGGGTCACCATAGAACACCTCTTCGCCGAGATTTTTGTAACTACTTTGTTCTCACTGCCATGGGGTTGACTAAGTCATAGCGATCCGATCAGACAGAGTAGAACAGCCGCGGAGGGTTTCCAAGACTGCCACGCTTTAAAAAACCTCATCTCTACTTTATTACTCGGTGTCAATGTTTCCTAAGCTTGAAGGCTGACTTCTGGGGTTGCTCTAAGAGATTAGATGCAAAACAAACAAACAAAACCCCAAACAAAACAAATGAAACAAAATTCTCATGGTATTCAAGCCAATTCTGATGCATAGCAACACTATGATGGATGTAAATCTTTATGGAGGTCAACTGTCACTTCTTACTTCCCCAGCACTGATGGTGGGTTCAAAGGGCCAACTTTTCGATTAGAAGCCCAGGCCTTAGTCATTGTGCCAGCAGGGCTTCTTTCGTCAAGAGTTAACCCCATATTCAGTCTATTGTGAGGGCAAAGAAACCTACAGAAAATGGTCACTCAGGACTCTGAGATGCTCGTTCTATGGATGCAATAAACAACATATGAAAACTTACCCCAACCTCCATAGACTTCACATTCAGTTTTTTGGTTTTTTTTTTTACTGTGGAACGTATTTATTTTTTATGAAAATATATTATCACCGTGAATGTTTAATGAATTATTAATAGTA